GGCAGTAATATTCCACAGATAATCTCTCATTCTCTTCTGTCTTCATTTTGTCCGTCTCATCTTTCTCACCCGAACCACCACTCACCCATTCCCACGATTCCTCAAAGCAGGCTAGAGAGGATCTTCCTCCCTACCTTCCGGCGTTGTCTGGAGGGACTGCCCACCCATCAGAATTAGTGGCTGGTGGGAATGAAACACCCAAAAGTTTTTGTTTTTGTTGATCAGGTACAGAGGACAAGCCCAAGGACGCTTGCTTGTGGCACTCCTTCGCCGATGTCACGCTTCTTCATGTTTTTCTCGGAAGAATATGTCCGAAATATAGGATTTCAATAATTTTGATCGAGTATTTTTTTTAGAATAGCATAGTAGCTATTTAGCTTTTTACATGGTATACTCCATCATGCTACACTTTATTAAAGACGTGTGCAATATCGAGGAAGATACAAAAGAACTTATTTGTTTCCTATGTGCAATTCTATGCACTTGTCTAGTCTATCATTAAGTGATTTTGTCTAAAGTCGAACTATTGGCCTATTACTATTATTAAATTCTTTTCCTTAGTGGTAGGTTTCAGCCCTCTCAGAAATACTTTTTTAAATAGTTTCGATAATATGTATAGGCAGCAGAAACATACAGTTAATTAAATGAGTATTTTTTTAGACCGATATTATTAATAAACAGTGTAAATAATATTCTCATAATTGTTTTCTACACTAAATAATCTTATCAATCTTACAGACGTTTTTATAGTAAACAGTTATCACGCCTTATAACAAAAATCGGAATACTACTTAACAATTTTTTTTTAGTTAGATAGACAGGTCGATGAGATAAGTCATCATTCAAAATATCGTAGTTATTGATGAAGTCATCCGTGTACATGTGTCTGTATAAATGTTAGTTTGCTTTGTATAATATACCTACCACACTTTGTAAAATATGCATCGTAAACAAAATTTAAAATCCACGCTGCTATTCAAGGTGATTTTTACTTCACAAAAAAAGCATACTATGTATCGTGGTATTTATATTATACGTAGGTACCATCATTATTATTATTATTATTGTGTAATAAACAGTAAATTACTTATAATGGTTGGCTCACTCCTATTATAGTTTGGGAGGACAATAAAAAAATCAGATTCTAACACTCATTTAAAGTGCAATTCGCCGTTTTAATAAAACGTGTAGGAGAGAATGAAAAGATGTTTTTAACTTGTACCATAATTAATCGACATTGGAGACAAAAAGCGGACTTTTAGCTAACTAAAAAAAAACTTTAAAATAATGAACACTAAGAACTTCTAAGGGAAGTACAAAAAGGTGAAGAATACTAGGAGCAAAATAAAATATAACAGGGACAGAAACAATAAGAAAAAGTGCTTTACAGTTTATAAATTATCCCGTGGGTTTTACCTTAATGTCTATATTGGACAGACCGGTGGAAACTTCTAAAAACGCTTAAGAGAGCATAGGAATAGGTATTTAAAGAATAATAATAATAAAAATAAAAATAATTCCACATTTTTAAACCATGTCACTGAAGGAAGACATTGTTTTAATTTTAATTTGAATATTAACTATACTAAAAGCACTGTTACTAAATTTATTCTAATTGTACGTCGACATTTATCTGTTCTTTCCTGTTTTACTTGTTTTATAATCTTCTCATCTCTACCTATTGAAACTCTAAAGAAC